TTTTAGGGTAAATAAAATGTTTGATAAGTATTAATTATTTTGAGATTAATTTTTTCGAGTATTAATTATTTCTTTTTTAATTTAAAACTGTATAATTATTGAAAGGGTAAAAATGAAATTTAATGTCAACTAAATGCTAGTTACTACATTACATTTTATAAGATGTTAGATATTTAATTCTATATGAAAAATACTAATATAGAGTGTAATTTCCCATTTTTCTATCTGTAGTTTTTGCAAATAATATTCTCTAATAATATTGATTAATGCATCAAAACATGATTTTGCTCATGCATAAGAAGTTAAATGCATTATTAGTAATTTAAAAAAATATGATGGAAAAAGGAGTCTTACATCAAGGATCACAGCTAAACTTTTATTCTCTAACATGGTCTTTAGTAAAAATGCATGAAAAGAGACTTGTGTTTAACTTTATTCTTATTCCATCCAACCAAGAGAGCCTCTAAAAGCTTAAAACTCTCTAATTCCCCATAAATACAAGAACAAGTTATTACTTCAACAACAATACAAGAACTTGTTTCATTGAAGATCCAAGCTGTAAGAAGAAAAAATGGCAAGGAATGTAGGGTTCTTCATCTGCTTCTTGATCATAGCCATGGATGTTTCAGCAGGAATTCTCGGCATTGAAGCTGAAATAGCTCAGAACAAGGTACATTATTACACACACACCCGCGTGCCGATAGGAGTAGCGGATTTTTCACTAAGTTGTTTGTTTTGGGGTGCAGGTGAAGCATTTGAAGATGTGGATATTTGAGTGTAGAGACCCGAGTTATACAGCCTTCAAGTACGGTTTAGCTGCGTGCATCCTTTTGGCCTTAGCCCATGTAACGGCTAATTTGCTTGGTGGGTGTCTCTGTGTTGTCTCAAGACAAGACCTTGAAAAATCCTCAGCCAACAAACAGCTTGCCGTGGCTTCTCTGATATTCTCCTGGTAAGTTCAAAACAGAACAATGTGTAAATCCTTCTTGTGGTTGAAGAAGGAACTTGCAGAGAGATTTGATTCAAGATCCCTTTTTTGTGTTTTCTCAGGATCATATTGGCAATTGCTTTCTCAATGTTGATCGTAGGGACGATGGCAAACTCAAGATCGAGGAAATCTTGTGGGATTTCGCACCATCGGGTTTTGTCCGTAGGAGGGATCCTCTGTTTCATTCATGGCCTCTTCGCTGTTGCTTATTACATCTCTGCAACTGCTTCAACATGCGAACAAACACACACAGGCCATGCTTAAAACCTTTCCTAGCCACTCTCTTTTTATAAATTAACCCGATGTTCAAATTTGATTAAGAGTTTAGCAAAAAAAAGAGGATGTATACCTGAATTTCTATACTTTGCTTCGATCTCTCATTCATTGCTCTGTGAATCTTCAAGCTGGATTTAGTTTTCTTGATGACTGTGGATGCATTGGAAGGTAAGGCTGTGGACAATAGCCTTCCACTTTAGCTCTTCGAGAAGCAAATTAAGCAAAGGATAGATCTGTGAAAATTCGGGATGATTTCCGTCACCGGAAACAAACAAATGAGTAATTTTGTTGATTTCGATCCAACTTAAACCGGGAACTTTCTGAACTCCTCTCTCTTTCATTAAGCTCCTTACTTTAGTCACACTTCCCCATTCTTCAGCATTAGCATGTGCATTTGACATCAAAACGTAATAACCAGAATTTCCCGGATCCAAATCCATTAACCTGCACGAAACAACTTTCGCAAGGTCGACGTTCTTGTGAAGCCGACAGGCTCCAAGTAACGTTCCCCAAACTCCTGCATCAGGCGAAAACGGCATGCTCTTAACGGTTTCATAAGCTTCGTTTAACCGACCAGCTCGTCCAAATAAATCGACCATGCAAGCATAATGCTCCTGCTGCGGTTGGATTCCATAATCCTCAGTCATAGATCTGAAGAAACGGACTCCTTCATCCACATCTCCAACGTGACAACACGAAGATATTATCTCAAGAAACGTGATTTGATCAGGACGAATTCCGATTTTTTCAACCATTTCATGAAATAGACATAGAGAATCCTTCAACTTCCCGTGGTTTCCATATGCAGCGATGATGCTATTCCACGAAACAATGTTCTTCTCTTTCATCTTCTCAAATACATTTGTGGCAGATTTTAGGTTTCCGCTCTTAGCATACATATCTATCAATGTACTCTCGGTATATACATCAGAATCAAGTGAATGTTTTATTGTGAATCCGTGAATAGCTTTCCCAAAACTTTCTGAAGGTAAGTTTGCACAAGCAGAGAGAGCAGCTGAAATACTGACAAAATCAAAACCGATCCCTGAAAGTCCCATTTGACGGAAAATATCAATGGCTGCACTCGGATCATCGCTCTGTGCACAACGTGTGATCATGGAATTCCACGAAACAATGTCCTTCCTAGAGAGTCTCCCAAAAATCTCATACGCAAGGTCCATTCTTCCACACTTAGCGTACATGTCGATAACAGCGCATCCAATATTGCATCTGTTATCAAAATCTTTCTTGATGATGAAACCATGGAGTTCCCTCCCGAGTTTCAAGGCCAACAAACTACCAATTACAGGCAAAACAGACACTAGAGTTATCTCATTTGGACTCATTTTTACCTTAACCAGCCACCTAAACATCTCTAACGCATCGATGTACAAGCTATTATGCAAATACCCAGAGATCATTGCCGTGAGAACTGCAACATCGACTGTGTTACACTGACTGAAAATCGTTTGCGCCATTGAAACACCCCTACACTTAAAATAAGTATCAATAAGAGCACTCGTTAAGAAGATATCCATTGGTATGCTATGTCTCACAATATAACTATGAATTTGCCTACAAAACTCAAGGTTTTCAAACCTAGAAATTGATGGAAGCAAACTAGAAAACGTGATAGCATCAGGTAAGACACCTGAAGAAATCATCTCAGAGAAAAAAACTAAACTTTCTTCCATTAATCCGCTTTGAACATATCCAGATATCATGCAATTCCATGTCACGGTATCAGCACGAGAAATCATCCGAAACAACTTACACGCATCATCAAACCGGCCACATTTTAAATACATAGATAGAAGCGAGTTCTTGATAGAACCTTCAAAATCCAACCCAGAAACAACCACTAGACCATGAAACTGAACTCCTAGATCAATCAATGACTTCGAGGCACAAACCGATAAAACACAGTCAAACGTAACAGCATTGGGACTAATCCGATCCATCCTCATTTCACAAAAACCTTTTACAACACTATCCGAAGCTCCACATTTTGCATAGCCATTAAGCATAACATTCCATATAACACAATCTTTCTGACTAACTCTATCAAACAATTTACTCGCCACATCGATCTTTCCATACTCGAGATACGCTTTAATCAAAGAACTCGCCACAAACTCATTACAATCCATACCAAGAGAAGAAACAGTATCACGAAGAAACCCAATTCCTCTGAAATTCTTCAAACCAACACAAGCCTTGACGAGACAAGGGAAAGTGGATACATCAGGACAAACTCCATAACAAAGCATCTTGAAGTAAAAAGACAAAGCTTTATTAAACAAACCCATTCGAACAAAACTACTGATCATCGAATTCCATGGTCTGATGCTACTACTTCTTCGTAAATCAAGTCTGTAAAACAATTTACCACAATCTGAAAAGCTACCAGACATTGCATACATACCCAAGATCTTCTCAGCCATAAAGCTCTCGCCGGAAATTCTGTTTACGATTATAAAAGCGTGGACTTGCTTACCTTGACGAAGCAGAGTTGAGTTCGAGCAAGCCTGTAAATGTAATGTAAGTCGACGAAGGAGAGATTCTCCGAGAAATCGCGACGAAGTTCCCATCGAAATGGAATTGGACGGTACGATTGCCGACGCGAACCGCTTAGCGACTGCGGAAATATTCATAGCCTTTTCTTAAGTAAGGTAGTAAGAAAAAAGTATTCAAAGATAGTTGACCTCTTCATCGGAGACTCACTGAGTTAGTAACTGGC